AGTTTACCCAGGCCACATCAACTGTAGTTCGTGTAATATTTACCCTATGAATCTCTATACGCATTCAAACCAAAGTTCGTTTTAGCGTATAGCTAAAAATATAACGTTAGCCCAACGCAAGTGTGTTGAAAACCCACATACAACGACTGTAATGTTGATTACCCTAAAGTTCGCTAAGACAAACCCCAAGTGTCGACGCATGAGCTGAACGCCACTGGCTTGAACCTGCTGGAGTGAAAAGGCTGGTGTGAAACTGGCACTGCGCTCTGCAGCCAGATATTGTTGGGGGGCGTCAACGGAACACATCATGATTTCGACATGCGCAATGAGGGGAAACAGGGGAACTGGATTTACCTTAACACCGGTTTCCGACCAAGCTGAACCTCAATTTTAGCAGAGGCACGGCCAGTCTAAACAAACCCCGAAAAACGTTGCCGATCCCTCTTCCGTATTGAACGGGCGCTCCGCGGAAACTATCTATGCCCGCTCCAGCTTGTTCGGTAGGGTCGGCGTAAAATGCAGCCATTTTATCGAATCGGTCTAACATGTACCTTCACAACGACTTTTCCAAATTAAAATTTGACGTTCCGGTTTTGATTCATCTTTAACTCTATTAAAATTTCACCAAAAACGTGTTTGCTGAGGGGGGTGTAATGCACCTTGTTGAAGTTTAGTGTGACGAAATCCAGATGCGCTTTAGGTATTTGAATAGCTCGTAAAAGAGGCGGTAAAGAATCACCTAAAATTTGATGTGAAGAAACATCGCAGTAAAGAAACAATAAAAGGTTCCGCCTTCAGTGTGGACTGGAATTTTGATTTTCGTAGGGTCAGTCCACTTTTGCTCCTCAAAGCCAACTGAGATTTATTAAGTGTCTATAACATCCAGGATGAAATTTTCATTTACCCAGGAGTCAAATTTTGTATTCCAACCTTTCCATCTCACCTTAATGAGAACCCCGGATTTAGTTTTTTCCTAGCCAGTATTTTTTTCTATTTCTAATATTCATCTGTAAAAGATTGTTCATAACCTTTCACGAAGGCCCTGCATTCTTTGGAAATCCGAACCATGTCACCTACTTGGGTGGGGGTACTTCACCTCTCATTCTTTTTCCATACAAATGATGAAACACCTTTATCTGATTGTCCTCGTTCACTTCTTCGGGGCGCTTCTGAATAGATCTGTGAAAGGTGTGATTGTAAGAGCTCACTAGTTCCATTAGGATGTCTAAATATCTCAAAGTGTAAAATATCTAAACATTGTGCTTTAAGGCTTTTGTTAAATCTCTCCACCACCGAGGCCTTCAATGAGCTAGCTATAGTAAAATGTCTTATTCTATATGTGTTTAAAAATGTTTGAAATAATGTATTTAAAAATTCACCTTCATCCATTTGCAACGTTAGTTTTCTGCCTTGTAAAAATATTTGTTCAAAATCCTTTGTTACGCACTTGGCATTCTTAAGCTTTTACCCATTAATTTTGAAAACACATCGATACAGGTTAAAATAAATTTGTTCCCATCGTTGTGTTCCAACAGATTGCTTAAATCCACCAAGTCTATCTGCCACTGCACGTCCTTTTCCGACACGAAACTCCTTTTAAGATGTATTCTTCTGGGTTTGTGTAGTGTGTGAGTGTCTGAACTTTGTAAAAACTTTTCAATTTCATTTGCATTTTTAACCAATCCCACCTCTCTCACACTTTTGATAAAGGGCTGCCTGCCGTCCAGACTGCCTTCCGCACCCGGTTTATGATACAATTCTTGCAGTGTTGTCAGAGACATAGTGACAGCACAGATGGTCGAGGTTTGAAAAAATGTAGGGTTTTAAATTTTCTTCTGGGTAATAAAAAAACACGGTCTAAAATAAATGTGGAGAAAACAAACTGATAAAATGAAGACAACTTGAAAAGGTTTCTATGGTTTTTATTATTTTTTGTTTAAAGGTTTTCATGTGTTTAATTTCTTTTATTATTATTATTATTATTTTTTTTGGTTGTTAGTATCTAATCTACTGACAAACAGTCCAAGATTTAGGTAAATTATTTTCAAACTAAATGTTAAGAACATTTTGACATATAAAATGAAAAGGTTACACGTTTTTTAACTAAAATATAAAATGGTTATGTTTTTTATTGAAATAAAATAAAAAGATTACACAGTTTGTCTAATAAAAATACACAATGGGTTTTTTAAAAGATATATACACGTGTAAACTTACTAGCAGCGATCAAAAGCCATTGGTGTCATAAATGTGTTATGAACAATTACACAAACTCTCATACATTTTTAAAATATAAAATAAAAAAGCTTACACAGTTTTTTCTAATAAAATGAAGAAAAGGTTACAGTTTTTCTAATAATAATGTTTCATGGTTCCTCTAATATAAAAATATACAATGTATACCTGTTTAAACTTATTAAAAAAAACATTCGTGTCATAAATGTAACCATATTATTATTAATATGGTTATTAATATAACCATATTCCCCCAATTTTTCCTGCGTCAGCTTGTAATAGGTTAATAGGCTTGTAATTGCCTCTGCGCAATAGGTTTATTACAAAATTGTGCAGTTCTTTTAATTCAAAGTATTGTTTTAGAGACTCTTTGATCTCCAATTCACAAGTGGGGATGAGATTCAATTACTTTGGTTTTAACTCCCTGTCCAGAAATCTTATGGGAACACCTTCTACACAACTGTGCTGTTTTTGTGAAGGGTGATCGATTTGACACCCCTTTAGTCTCTTGTGACCCACTCATGAACAGCCAGGACAATGGCTCTTGCCGAAATAAATTCCACAATTTTCGTCGTTCGGTCCTTCAGCCTAGGTCCGAAGGCTTTCCGACTTTCTGACCTGGGCCAGTGTCACAAGGTTTCTCGCTTTGACCTTGTGACCCCATTCCTGGGAAAACACCTATGTTCTCTGTCTCACGCTGCTCGCTGTTAGTTGGTGAAGACGGCCTGCTTTGCAAACCATCGTCAACGACAATAAAATCTTCCACTTCGCTCGCACTAGTCGAATCTGAAATGTCATTTTCAGAGCCTTTACGTTCCACATGGTCTAAGTCAGAACTCTCCTCATCATGTTAAGGGTGTGTGGGTGAACTCCCCCACTCTCTCCCGCTGGGCATGTCCTCCCACATGCGCATCGTCATCCCGGAATTCACACATCAGTTTTTACGGGCGTGGAATATGACAGCTGTCGCACTGGAATATTACGCTGACTGGTGATAAAGAAAGAAAATCGTTAAATGGTTTAATGGGCTTATACATGCCTACTCGCAACTTGAAACAGTCTAGCTGTTTTCACAGCTTATATTCACAAACTACGGTACCTCTAATGGTCAAAATTATGGCGTTTTTCTTACCCGGTCAGAACATGTTTGATGGCATGATAGATGTCCAGTAGATCGTTTTCCCGCAAAGTCATTTCAACCAGCTGAACGTTTTTTGTAGATGCGAAAAAATACACCCATTCCTCCTCTTCCCTGGAACACACCTTTTCATGCCTTATCATAGGTGATGCGCACACTTCCAGTCGAACTCTGTAGGTGAACTCTGGGGTCTTGGGGCCTGTGATGATCAGGGTGATTTGATGCAAATAATGCACGGATCTGCCCTTCAATGTGACTGTGGCAGACCTGGAGAGTTCGGTCTTGAGGTTTGTGTCGTGACTGATTGTTTGTGTCCTGTTTCTGGCATGTAAGATTGTTGCATGCAATTCCCCACTTCGTTTGTTCTCGGAACGGTCTGGTTTAACAGATAGAACTCCTTTTCTGAAATGGCTACTTCGGTGGGTTTATTTCCGTGAGACAGCCTGCTCTGACGGAAAATGATGTAGCGATTGTTCAGCCGGGTTTGTTTCGGCAAAATTGTCAAATACGTCATCGAAAGGCATCTCCTTTATGCTCGGTTTAAACAGATGTCATCTACTCTGAATTTGTCGATTTCCTGCTTTTTCATTTGTGAAGGTTTACCATCTGTTTCTTCTCGAATGATCGGGGCCATTTGACATTTGGCTTGTCCTTGGGGGCAGCTCCTTCACAGTTTCAGTCGTTTTAAACTGTTTGGCCACACGAAATAAAGTATTCCACGCTTTTGTAAGTTGTCCCTAATGAATGAACGATAACGCCATTTGCTCAAGGAATTCACGACCGGAGATCCATCTTCAGACTTAGATGGGCTGTCTGGAGAATCCATGTCGCTGGTTTTGCAGAAAAATCTCCCTCCGCATCAAACTGTCTCTCTCACATCCAGTTTTTATGATGTTGTTGATGCGAAAAACAGCACCAATACCTGTTCATTTATTAGTCACGCTTAGGAGGACGGAGGCCCACGCACTTGCTTCTGTCAATCAAATACACAACGACATACCATTGCATCATACTATTACATCATGGGAATCTTTCGAAAACACATCCTGGGAATCTTTGGAAAGCACATCCTGGGAATATTTCGAAAATTCGTCCCACATTCTATACCGGACAAAGCTTGGGAAGTTTTGGAAAAACATTCCCACACATGATATTGCAGAACGATAAGTCCTCACTTCTTTTTTTTCATAAGTTTTATCCTTATACTTCATGATGTGCCATTTTTTTCATGCTTTAAATTTTACCCAAAATTTACATCATTTTTTGTTAACACTTCTCAAGGGGAAATTTGCTCACACTTTCCCGAACATGCACCCTGGGAAAAATTTGACATCTTTTTCCCCCACGTTACATCACACAATATTTGTTTACATTTATTACCATACCTTACCTCCTGGGAAAATTCTTTACATTTTTAACCTGCACTTCACTACTGTCTTTACTTTGACACTGATGTTTATGGTGGTGTTACCGATTCTTAAACTACGGACTGGAGCCAGGAAACATGACGGACGGAGTCTCCCAACAACATCGCTCTTCTGTGATCCACAGTCGATTTGCGGCCAGTCAGAGTTGAAACTCCGGCTGAAAGCACGCTGGTACGCTGGAAGCGCGCCAGAGGACGTACAGCTGCTCTATTCAGCCGCCTTCCAGAAAAGAGGAAGCAGCGCGTTTGAGAGGTAACGTTGAAAACTTTATCAACGGATTGAAAACATCCATTTATAGACTAAAACAATGCAAACGTCAAAGTCATCGCTAGGGGTGTACATTTCGACTGACGACCGAAAGCAAAGCCAGTAATGTTAGCTAACGTTACGTTAGCTAGGTAGCTAAGTTAGCAAGGTAGCTAGCAGCTAATTGTCAGTGTGATTTGAACGTTAGCTAAACTTTGTTTACAGAGCTGCGTTGCTAAAGTTTAGTACAATATTTTTGTGTTAGTTAGCTGGCTTGTATTTTCTGCGGCCGTGCCTGTCTTCCATGTCGTTTGACAGCTAAATTTAGACCACTTGCTAGCAACAACTACAGATAAAAAGATGCCGCGTTAGCCGGTGTGTATCGTTGTTTTACCCAAGCGTGTGTCTGTTTGTTCCCACAGCGGTTCGCTGCAGTACAAGGAATTTGGACGCTGCAAGCCCTGAATTTGACCACAGCCAGAAGTCTTCAAGCTCAAGCGTTATGCTGAAGTAAGATTTGCTGCATAGGTTGCAAAATGACAAGTGTTGTAAAAGCTTTCACATGTTCTACATGTGGCATTGCTGTGAAAACAGTGAAAGGCTGTGTAAATCATCAAGAATTGCTCAAAAATGAAGCACGTGGTACATATGCCTGTTGTGTAGTTGGGTGCAAATTAAGGTTTACAAAATGTCATTCTTTCAAAAGTCCTATTTATCGCCACCATAGGCAGTCATCTGTGTCAGTGTGAAGCTGTTCAGGGCCCACTGATATGTGAAAATAGTCATTGCCAGAAACAATGCATTGATCTGAAAGATCTTTTAGATCATTTGAAATGGCATGTTTCAAAGAAAGAAGAAGTGAGGTGCCCATTCAGAGGTTGTGGCAAAGCCTTTTCATCAAGGTCCTCTTTTACTGCACACATTTGTAGAAAGCATAAAAATGCTACATCAGCGCAGGTCTCAGCTACCCCTTTTGTTCATTCTGTGTCTAGCCAGTCTTCTGATGTTGCAGAAAGTCAGTTGGATGAAAGCGTTGTACATGACGAGCCCGAGGATACCCTAGACCAAGCTGATATGAAAGGGTTATGTATGAGAAATTTGTGTATGTTTTACATGAAGTTGCAGGCCAAGTACCTCGTACCTTCTTCCACCATTCAGATGATTGTGGAAGAAGTAGTCTTAATAGTGTCTGTCACCAATACACAAGAAATCAAATGAAAGGTGTCCTGCAAGCTACTACCAGCTTGACAGTCAGAAATGAAAGATGTTTTGACAGGTTTAAATGACACTAGTTTGCATGCATCCTGTAGCCCTGCAATCTCTACTGAGTATTTGAGAAGGCAGTATTTTCAGACAAACTTCTCTTATGTGCATCCTCAAGCTATTAGTTTAGGCACTGATGGAAAATAGAAACAAACGATTTGCTCAGTATATCCCCATGAAAGAGACTTTGGAAGCTTTGCTTAAAGACCTAATTGTGTGGCAGGAATGTACAAAGTCTGTAGATGATGCTTCTGCACATGATCTAAATGATGTGAGTGATGGCTCTGTATACAAGAGTAACTCACTGTTTATGGAGTCAGGTATAAGTCTAAAGCTCATACTGTATCAAGATGCCTTTGAGATTGTTAATCCTCTTGGGTCAGCCAAAAAAAAATACAAGATACTTAGGGTTTACTTTACACTGGCCAGCTTTGACCCATTTTATCGTGCCATTGTTGAAAATGTACAGCTCTTGCTCTTGTGTAGAGAGGTAGATTTTAAATATTTTGGCCATATTAACGTGTTCTCCACAATGCTGTCAGATATCAAGGAACTGGAGACAAATGGGCTTGTGATATCTGGGCATGTTGTTAAGGCAACGGTTTTTTGCATTGCTGGAGATAATTTGGGGTCTCACAATATAGGAGGTTTCACAGAGGATTTTAGTGCGTCCACATATTTCTGTAGGTATTGCCTTGTAACAAGAAGTGAGCTCCATGATTTTCAAAAATGTGCCCCACCCCGAACAGTGCAAAAATACAAAGAGGCAGTAGAAGAGGTTCAAGCTGGTGCCCTGACAGAAAGCAGAGGTTTGAAATTTGATTCACTTTTTAATTCCCTCACCTACTTTCATGTCTGTCAGCCTGGCCTCCCACCTTGTATTGTTCATGATGTGTTTGAAGGAATTGTGGCGTATGATTTAGCCATTTACATCAAGTACTTCGTGAAAGTAAAGAAATTCTTCACATACAGTCAGCTAAACCGGAGAATCAGGCAGTTTAGCTATCAGGGATCTGATGCCGCTTCTAGTCCCTCAGAGGTTGTTGAAAAGCGAGTTAAAATAGGTGGCCAGGCAACAGAGAACTGGTCTCTTCTGAGGCTCCTTCCTGTTATAATAGGTGAAAAGATCACAGACACAGATGATCCAGTATGGCAGCTAACAGTTCAACTAAAAGAACTTGTGGAATTCATCTGTGCTCCTCGAATATCTCTCTCTCTCAAGATGTTTTGCTTAATGTTCTCATTGTGGAGTATCTGGAGACAAGAAAAAAGATGTTTCCTGATCATAAACTCAATCCAAAGAACCATTACATTGTCCACTATCCAGCTTTGATACTCAAGCTTGGCCCACTCATAAGATTGTGGACAATGAGATTTGAAAGCAAGCATTCCTATTTCAAAAGATGTGTGCAAAGAACACAAAATTTCAAAAATGTGTCCAGACGTTTGCAAATAACCACCAACTTCTGCAAGCATATCTAAACTCAAGTTCTTTCTTTGCTCCTACTTTGCAAGTAAAGGAATCCATTCCCTTCCATGCAGAGATGTACAGTGATGCAGTACGCAGTGCAGTAGCTGTATGCTTGCCTGGGGAATGTGATCTTGTGGTGTCTGATGAGATACAGTGGAAAGGCACTCTTTACAGAAAGAGCTTGTTTCTGTGCGTAGGTCCTGGCATGCCAACAGAGTTTGCACAAATAGAACTTATGTTAATACTGGACAGTAAGAATGTGTACTTCCTTGTAACACCTTATGGTTCATCGTATTTACCAGAATTGGGGCTATATGAGGTTCACTCAGCAAGTGGGGGCATGAGGTGCGTAAATGGAGAGCTATTGTTGGATTACTATCCATTGCCTGCTTATGCTACTTGTGGAACTAGAGGAATTTCTCTTAAACATAGCATAGTAGATACTGAGTAGTGGGAGAAATGACAATGACTGTTTTATGGTGCGTTGTGCTGGTATGAGCATCAGGAAATGTAATAATGATTACATTTCACAGACTAGGCAAGACCTGAGTATGTTAAACATGGCACAAGATGTTCTTAAATGCTTGATATCAGGGATTAAAAATCTAGTAGGGAGTCGTTGACCTAATGTTTTGGAATAAATTACGAACTATTATTGATTTACAATGTTTTTGATTACTGTTGGGTTTATAATGTAAATACATTAATGAATAGATACTGTTGGGTTACTACCTTTGTATTACTATAGGATTATTGTTGTAAAGGAAAAAAAGTAGATCTATTGCTGGTTTATTATTGTTAGTGTATAATAGCTATTGTTGAATTGCTGTCTAGCACTATCGAGTACTGTTGGATAACTGAGTGCGTAAATGCAGAGCTTTTGCTGGGTTACTATCTTTTGGATTACTGTTGGACTATGGAGCATGAACGTTGAATTACTATTGTAAGTGCATAAATGGAAAGCTGTTGTTGTGTTACTGTCATTTAAAAACTGTAGGATTCCAATTAAAAAAGAAACAGAGCTATTGTTGGATTACTTTCCATTGCTATTGCTCCTTGTGGAACTAGAGTAAGTTCTCTCAAACATAACATATAGTAGTAAACGTAACAGAGTAGGGAAAGAAATCACAATGACTGTTCTATGGTGAGTTGTGACTGTATGAGCATCAGTTAATATAAGGATTATTGCACTGTGCAGACTATGCAAAGCTCGAGTATGTTGAACATGGCACAAGATGTCCTTAAGTGCTAAAAAAGAAATCAGGGATTAAAAATCAGCGGCCTGTGAAAGGTTGATAGTTAACTCTTTCAATAACATGTAGCCTTACATTTTTTTGCATAAATGGAAACTATTGTTTAATTATCTTTTGGAATAGTGTTGGAATATTATTGTAAAACAGAAATGGAGAAATATTATTGGACTACTATAAATTACTATTACTATGGTAGCATGTGTAGTTACGTCTATTATGTGTAGTGTGCTTTTTCCCTAACTCCACTGGTGCGAGTTATCTTTCCCTGCTCAGCCAGAGTTTGTTTGATGCACTGTACGCACAACATGTTACAGAGATTCTGGAGGTGTGTACATAGGCAACATATGATTAGCTAGAAATCCCTGATCTGCGAAGCTCCGCAATAATACAAACACGTACCCAAGCATATATCACGCTTGAGTGAGATGGCTGCCTTGGAAGCTAAGAAGTGAAGAATTAGATTATGAAAGTTTCCTGTTGGGTTGAATTGCTTGAAATCACTCCAGTGTAATGTTTGTCCAATTTTTTTATTTCTTACTTTTTTCTTTCTTCTGTCTGCCAATTGAAGCTAGAAAACTGATTGCATGTGTTAAAGCATTATGTAAGTATATTTTTTACTCCCTTAAGTGTGGAAAATAAAAACACTATATCCTCTCTACAGGTGAGGTAATCTTAATTGTTGTATTTTTTTTTGGAAAATGAGAGACATAATTCCTATTATATGTCTTATATCCAGCTGAAAAGCATGCCAGTGAGATTCTTGATCTGCCTCCCAGAGCTGAGTCAGAAGGCCCTATAGCCACACCCAGAGGAACGATGAGCCCTATAACCACGCCCAGAAGAATGATGAGAAGTGTAATGCCATGCAGAGACTATTCGTCTTCAAGTATGTGTGATAAAATGTCTTTGAGCAATTTCTAAAATCTGCATATTTCCTAATTATTACTTTTTTTTCCCAAAACCCCACTGTTGATATTTATGAAGTAAGATCTTGTATTGTACAGAAAAAGTTCTATGATGTGTGAATATTAAACCTGGTAGATTGGATAAATATTGCACATACAATAATAATAAATGTTTTGCTATTTTTGTTACACCACTTATCCACTCTATCAGACTTTTTCAGCTTTAATATTGGAAAGCAATATTAACAAGTGGGACTCCACAGCAGTTCTTCAACATGGAACTCTTTCTGATAAATATCAACTGTGGGGTGCCAGTTAAGGGTTAAGGTCATATCTCGTGGTCAGAGGTCAGGTTCATTTTTGTGTCCTGACCAAGGCTCCAGAATAACTATTTTTCCATCACTATCCCAGAACACTCCAGAAAAATTATTTAAAACATCCCAAAGCCGGTGTTAACCTTCTAAAATTCTAAGTGTTGTCCTTTTACATTATTTTCATCTACAGTGGTTATTTGCATAAAAATGCACAGTTCAAATAATAATTAGGAAATAAATGATTGTTTTTTGATTTATGTATTTGCTTTGATTTGAAAAATTTTAATTCATTTTAATTGACTAGTGTTAGAAAGATTATAGTACCCTCTCTAATGTCTATTTTAAATTGCTCTAAAAACATCAACAAATTTCTTCTTCAAACAACTATATTTATTGATGTTTTTTGCTAAAAACCAAATTTTCCATTACATTTGAATGCATCTTGGTAACGTTATAATTTACCTTCGCCCAATGCTCATTTTTACTGAACAGAGCTTGAACACATCACAGTGTAACTCAGTGCAACCTAACAGTAAAGATGTGCTGACAGCAGCTCAGTGAGACTCGGATCTTAAAAAATTGTGACCCTGTTCCAACTCTGAGCCTGTTATGATCCTCATCCCTGTTTTGTCCTGACTTATAGGTCGACTTGGGTAAGATTCTGTTCTCTCATGCTGATGATTGGTTTGTGTGTCATCTGTGATGGTGCTTCTTTATACTTTCCCTTAAATAGTGCAACAGTTATTATTGAAGGCACGACTGGGATAATGATGGCTACTGCAGGAACATTTTGAAATCATATTTTTCATGGGTCTTGCACCTTTGCCAACTAAGGGAACAGCCAGTGATTACTAACAGTAACAGCAAGAGAAGAGATGCTCAGTTGTAGTCAGCCCCTGTATTGGAAAAAATTATTAGCGTGATCAATGCTAATAATCGATGCTTGGGTCAATGCACAGTCGATCCAAGTTGTCATTTTCTAAATGATGGGCAAATAATAAAAATGATAATTGAATCCCTGATATCCCTTTTCATCCCAGAAACATTCCTCAGGAGATGCTTTTTGTCCCAAACACATTTTTCCATCCCTGGGACTATAGGACACCCTTAGTCTCATGTCCTTGTACTAACCCACGTCACTAAGAAAGTAGACTACCTCCCAACCTATTAAAAAAAACCCTACTATCTTGGTAGCTGGTAGATCCTTACTTTTACTTTGAACTCCTGTGAAATATTGTCATTCTACCCTTAAGCCAGGTCTATTCATCAAACCAGTTACATGATAAACCACTGAATTGAGCTCAGTGACCAGGTTTAATAGGGTTTTTGAAAACAGTAAAGGTTTGAGTTGCATAAGATCTACATCTTGAAAATCTGATGCTTATTAAAAAAAATAATGGGCCTGTCTATCAGTAATGTTTTGTGCTATAGAAATATTATGTTTTAATTATGTTTAATGACAGTGGTGAATGCAAAAATGTTTCCAATCACTATTTGTAAATACTTCTGTGTGCCCTCACCAGGTGAATACTATGCAGACAATTCAAGCTCTTCGCTGTCTAGCTCAAGCTGAAGTGCTCCCTCAACTCCTCATAGACATGCTCCAATGGACAACAACTGGCACTTCAGTTTTGAGATCTGCTGAAATAAAATGCCATCAGAGATTACTAGAAAGCTTGAAAACAATGAGCAACCAACAGGACGTGAAAGACGTGAACTGGTTCACCTGGTGGTAGGGGAGATCCTAACCATCTGCCCTACACCAGGGAAGAAACATCTTAGTGAAATTGCCAGGAAGATTGTTTCAACTTGTCCTCTGTCATTCAGAGATGTTATTGAAGATCAAGTTGTAGGTAGCAGTTATGACTCTCTTACCAAGCAGCTGCAGAGCAGAGCTGACAACCTGAAGAGGGAGAAAACCTCCCTTTACTTAAAAAGACAGGCATCCAGCACAAGTGAGGAAGGAGAAGACCTACCTTCCAAGACAATTAGAGTGGATACAAATAATAAATTGGCAACCAAAGCAGCTGCCACCAGGTGAAACCGTGGAGATTCAGAAACGTACACAAGAAGAATTAAAGAACATGCACAAAAACAGAAGCAACGACACCAAAAGTATTGAAAAGAAAATGGTAGCAACTTTCTACACTCAGAGAAGCAACATAATAAGTGGAATGGAAACCCCTGTTCTGGTAACAGAGTGGCCGTATCTGTTTGAGATGTGCGGCATGATGGCTCACTTCGAAGAACTAACGGGTGTGGTTGTTGACAGAGAAGCTGTGTCAAGTAAATGTGGAAGAGTCGTTTCATATCTCATGTCCTGTGAGAAGAAGAGCAAAATAGAGAACATTCTAGCAGGCATGCAAATTGCCAAAGCAAAACATCTTGAT